GAGCCTGCCTCAGCCTCAGCCTCAGCCTCAGCCTCAGCCTCAGCCTCAGCCTCAGCCTCAGCCTGCCTCAGCCTGCATCAGCCTCAGCCTCAGCCTCAGCCTCAGCCTCAGCCTCAGCCTCAGCCTGCCTCAGCCTCAGCCTGCATCAGCCTGAGCCTCAGCCTCAGCCTGCCTCAGCATCAGCCTGCTTCAGCCTCAGCCTCAGCCTCAGCCTCAGCCTCGGCCTCAGCCTCAGCCTGCTTCGGCCTCAGCCTCAATCTGCCTTCAGCCTCGGCCTCAGCCTCAGCCTGCCTCAGCATCAGCCTGCCTCAGCCTCAGCCTCAGCCTGCCTCAGCATTCAAAATGTAGCCCGGGAGTGGAGTTCTGGGAACTCGAAGAACACGAAGTGGCCTGCAGTTGGCTCCGGGCATTCAAAATCATGCCCAGGAATGGAACTTTGGGAACTCGAAGACCACGAAGTGGCCTACAGTTGGCTCCGGGTATTCAAAATCATGCCCAGGAACTCTGGGAACTCGAAGACCACGAAGTGGCCTACAGTTGGCTCCGGGTATTCAAAATCATGCCCAGGAATGGAGTTCTGGGAACTCGAAGACCATGAAGTGGCCTACAGTTGGCTCCGGGCATTCAAAATCATGCTTAGGAATGGAGTTCTGGGAACTCGAAGAGCACGAAGTGGCCTACAGTTGGCTCCGGGCATTCAGAATGTGGCCCGGGAATGGAGTTCTGAGACCTCGAAGACCACGTGTGTGTGCAACTGTTTGCTTAAAACGACTTCCGCGGATTCTCCCAGGATCCTGCCCGGACCCCCCTGGGGAGTCATGATGCCCTCTCTTTTGGAACCATTAGAAATCTATCAGTCTTCGCTGTTCGGTAAAAACAGCCCAAGAGGCCACCAAGACACCCCACGAAGCCTCCAAGATGCCTCCCAAGAAGCCCCCAAGAAACCAAAAAAACATAATTCCCTTGAGAAAACGTGCATTTCCAGCATATCCAATTTGTTAGCCTTCACGGCGTTGAAAGCCGTCCACGAGGCCCCCACGAGGCCCCCAGAACCACCCCAAGACGGCCCACGAGGCTCCCAGGAGGCCCCAAAGATAACCCAAAAGAACTCCAACGTGGCCCACGAGGCGCCCTAAACGGCCGAAGAGAGCTCCAAGACAGCCCCAAGAAGGGCCCAAGAGGGGGACCACGAAACGCGAATTCCAGCGCTCCGCCCAACGAAGCTCTCTGGAGGACCCAAAAGGCCGCCAAGGGGCCCCAAGAAGCCCCCTTGAGGCACCCAAGAGGCCCCAAGGAGCCCCCAAGAGGCCCAAAAGAAGTCCCAAAACGGCCTCCAAGACCCTTCGAAACTGCCTCGAAGAGGCCCGCGAGAATCCCCGCCACGAGATCCCAACGGAGATCCCAGAGCGTGCCACACACGACCCTGAACTTGACGCATTCTTGCTACTTTTCCTCGCCCCGGCTTCGGAATTCTGCCCGAGAGGTGGTTCGTGGAATGCAGTCCTGGAGGCGCAATAGTTTATAGAGGGATCGGCGGATGTGGCGTAAGCCTTTAGAATCATCCCAGACGGAAGCTATAATGCAACGTATCCTATGTATCCAATGATTGCAGAATTGCTACATATTGTATTGTGTTACATTATTATTATTATCATTAGTTTTATTATTACTATTATTAGGTACCCCCCCTACCCCCCCCCCCCAGGGGCCACACCACTTCCGCCGACCCAAAGTGGCCCCTCCCTCCTGCGCCTCAGAAACCTACCAAAACCTACAGAAAATCAATGAGTTGGGCCTGTTGGCCATCTTGGGGCCCAACAAGGCCTCAAGACGGCTTGAGATGGCCCCAAGACGGCCCAAGATGGCCCCAAGATGGCCCAAGATGGCCTCAAGAGGCCCTACAAAGACCCCAAGACGCCCCAAGACAGCCCCCAGAGGACCCCCAAGAGCACCTCCAGAAGCCAAAAACAATTGATTTCCCAATGGTTCTTGAAGATTTCAGCGTTCCCGCCTGTTTCGACTCTCAGAGGTCCAGGACAACGGAAAAAGCCTCCGAAGTGGCCCCCAGACGGCCCAAGAAGCCCTCAAGAGGGCCCCAAAACGGCCCAAGAGGGCCCCCAGACAGCCCCAAGAGGCCCCCAAGACAGCCCAAAAATACCCCAAGACAGTCTCCGAAGGGACCAGACAGCGCAAGAGCGCCTCCAAGACGCCCACACGGAACCCCAAGAGGTCCCCAAGAGGCCTCCCAGAGGCTCCCAAGAGGCCTCCCAGACGCCCCCGCGAGGACCCAAGAGGCCCCAAAGAGGCCTCCAAGGGGCCCCCAAGAAATTCCCAAAGGCACGACAACGACTGAACTGTACGTGCTCTGGACGTGCACCCCGCGAAGCGAGAAAAACCCACGTCCGGAGGTGACGTGCTGAGCGGCAGCGTTTTCCGGCGAACGCCTTCATGCAACGTATCCAATGTATCCAAAGACTGCAGAATTGCAACATATTGTCTTGCGTTACATTATTATGTTTCCCCCCCTAACCCCCACCCCCCAGGGGCTACGCCACATCCGTCGACCCAATGTGGCCACCCCCTCCCGGGGCTCAAAAACCTACCAAAACCTTTAGAAATTCAATGATTTCGATCCTTGGGCCTCTTGGGGGGCCACGAGGGTGCCAAGACGGCTCAAGATGGGCCCAAGAGGGCCCAAAAAGCCCCAGTGACGGCCCAAGAAGGCCCCAAGAGCGCCCACAACTGCACCTCCAGAGGCCCAAAACATTGATTTGCCTATGGTTCTGGCGATGTTTCAGCGTTCTCGCTTTTGCGGCCCAAACAGCTTCCGAAATCGCCCCAGAACAGCCCAAAAAGTCCCCAAGAGGGCCCCAAGACGGCCCAAGAGGGCCCCAAGACGGCCCAAAGAGGCCACCAAGACGGTCCAAGAGGCCTCTAAGACGGCCCAAGAGGACCCCAAGAGGGCCCCAAGGCGGCCGCGAGAGGCCCCCAAGACGGCCTCCGAAGGGGCGAAACGGCAGAAAAACGCCCCACGACGGCCCAGGACGCCCCCTAAGAGGCCCCAAGAGGCCCCCAAGAGGCCCCCAAGGGGCCCCAAGAAGCCCCCAAGAGGCCTCCAAAAAGTCTCCAAGAAGCCTCCAAAAGGCCCCATAGAAGCACCCCAAAGCTCACACAGCGACTGGAATGTACTGACATTTTTCTCCCCTAGGCGAAGTGCGGCGCAGCGCCAGCCAGGTGGAAGTTGGTCACGGCGGCGCCAATGATCATCATCATCGTCGTCGTCATCGTCATCATCATCATCATCGTCATCATCATGGTCATAATCATCGTCATCGGCATCGTCATCACCATCATTGAATTTACCATCATAATCGTCGTCGTCGTCATCATCATCGTCATCATCATCATCCTCATCATCATCATCATCAGCATCATCATCATCATCATCATCATCATCATCATCATCATCATCATCATCACCACCACCACCACCACCACCACCACCATCATCATCATCATCATCATCATCACCACCACCACCACCACCACCACCATCATCATCATCATCAGCATCATCATCATCATCATCATCATCATCCCAACCACCATCACGTCAATCACCGTACCATCACGACTGCAATGGCCATCTGGCCAGCACCATCACCAATACAGGGATTATTGCGAACAACATGACCAATGCCATGTTCAGCATCATTAGAAACATCATCGTGATGCTTATGCCGACACCGACGTAAGTACCATACTTGCCGTCATACGACATAGCATAGAGAAACAGAAATAGAAAGAGAGAGAGAGAGAGAGGGAGAGAGAAACAGATGAAGACAGAGAGAGAGAGAGAAAGAGAGAGAGAGAGAGAGACGGTCCACAAGACTGATAATGACGAGGAGGAGAAACATCAGAAGGAGGAAAGAATCAAGGTGGGAAACTCGGCTCCAAAAACCAACCATTGAGGGGAAGAAGCCAGAGTCGACGGACATCTAAAGAATAACGCTCCAGGAGGCGCCAGGAGGCTCCAGGACGAAAGAGTCATCCCCAGAAGGCGGGAGGTCCCAGGAAGAAACATGTAGCGAACGAGGGCTGGGAGCAGGAGGAAACTGGAGGAGACCGACAGAGGAAGAGGATACTGAAGAGGCATGAGGAGGACGAGGAGGAGGAAGACGAGGAGTGAGAAAGAGAGATAAGGATGATAGGGGAGGCAGGCGAAAGAAACAGGAGTAGGTCGAGGAAAGGGAAGGGGAGGAACAGAGGAAAAAGGAAACACGGTGAGAAAGATACTAATGAAGGCTAAGGAGAAACAACCAGGAGCAGGCTGGAGAAGGAGGAAGCGGAGGGGGCAGAAGGAAAAAGAAGAGGAGGATCAAGCATACTGAAAAGAAGGAGTGGGAAAGAGGTTGAAGGAGCAGGAGAGGGGGAGGGGAACAGGAGAATGACGAGAATATTTGGCGCTGTCGCATTGTTTTGCCTCTCGAAGACCATGACGGCCGAAGCAGCCTCGAACGTGGCTTCTCGACAGCCGCGAAAAAACATCCGTAAAAACATCCCAAAGAGGCCTAACGATTGCCTACCCAAGCCCCTGAAACAGCCCAAGAGGCCCCGACATGGCCACCAGCCCCGCCCCCAATGGTGCCAAACGGCGAAAGAGCCCCCCAAGACGGCCCAAGACGCCCCCACGAAACTCCCGAGATCCCCCAAAACGACTTCACTGTACGTACTCTGGACGTGCACCCCGCGAAGCGAGAGGAATCATCCCAGACGGCCCCCGAACCATTTCTAGAGGCCAAACGACCCCCCAAGGGATACCCAAAGAGAGCCCAAGAGGGCCCCCAGAATGCAGAGCCCCAGGACGGGCCCAGGTGCATGTAGAAGCTATACCTAGAACATCAAATTCTTAGGAATAGCTTCCTTCTACAGGCCCGCCGTGACTCCCGCTCTGCGGGCTCTGAAAACATTCGGCGGATGTGGCGTAAGCCTGGGGCATCTCCTCTTGCCTGCGCTGCACGCGTTCCTCGTGGCTGACGCCCGCGTCGACGCACGAGGGCTTCAGTTTGTCAAAGTATCGCAGCGCGGCATCCAGCTCCTTCTGGGTGCCATCCAAGTCGTTGGTCTTCATGGTAAGCGCATGCTCCTGGTCCTGCTTCTTGGCCGTCTTGTGCTCGACGTCCTTCGTCTTCTCGGCCTTGTCGACTTTCGAGTCAGTCATGAATTCATCGTACTCCTTCTGAGCGGCAGCCTCCGACGCTGTGGTCTCGGCCTCGAGGCGCGCAAAATCAGACTCGATTACCTCGAGCATCCCGATGACGCCCGAAGCCTCCCCGGTCATGCCTCTGTAAGGCCCGTTGAATATCTCTGGCGCCTTTGGCTGCTGCCTCTGGGTCTGCACCAGGGTGGCCGTCGCCTGCTTGTTGTAGAAGTCCCGGAGCACCGCGAGTGCCTGCGCCACGGCCGCCTGCGCCTCGACTGCGTCCTGAATGGTGGCATCGTTGCTCTTTTTCTCCTCCGTGCGCAGGCCGGTGGCCTCCGCCATGGCGGCGTCCAGCTGCGCGACGGCCTGAGCAAGCTCGCCGATCTCCTCGGAGAGCTTGGCGACGGAGGCCTCGAGCTCGTCGATCTCGGCGTGCAGCGTCTCCACCGCGGCAGTCTTCTCCTTGCGCGTGACCTCGTTGGTGGCCAGCTCGCTGTCGCACCAGCCTTTGTGCTCCGCCTCCTCGTTTGCCTCCTCCATGAGCCGTACGATGAGGTCCTTGATCATCTTCTTGACCTCCCCCGCGAGAGCACAACGGGCTCGGAAATACGCGCACTCCCATCCTCGAGCTTTTGCATACCGATCCCGCCCCCGCCCAGAGGCAGCGACGGCCTCACACTGACAGCCAAAGCCGCCCGCGGCGACGGCACAGCCGAAAATCGGCCGAGCCAGCCGACCGACCGCGACACCGAAACCTGCCGAATCTGAATATGCTGGAAGCGGTCCAGAAGCGCGCGGCCACGCAGCAGCGGCATAACGAACCGACCGCACCGAACCGACCAGATGCGACCGACCGCGACGCGGCCGAACCGACCGAAACTCGGACGCCCTTGGAGGGACAAGCACGGTGCACAGATCCTCCGCGCACCAGGGGAGGACGTGCACACCCTGCTATCGCCAGAGCCGCAGGGGGGACAGGGGTCGATGTACAGAAGGTCTACGTCGAGATGGCGTTAGCGTTGTTCTGGTACCACGTGGATCGTTCAACCTTGAACGATCGCGACTCTCAGATATCACAGATCGCCAGATCTCGGTCCGCGATTAGGGTCGCCGCCACGTCGACACGACGCGAGCCTATCGTGCAAACCTCTCGGGGGGAGGCCGCCCAAGTAGTGTCCGAGCAAATGGGATCGCCGACGTCGCAGATGCATCGCAGACGTCGGCGTGGAGAAAATCTAGCTCCACATGGAGCCGCATCGCCGATGCATCGGCGCTGCGGCGCGATCCACCGACCCCATCTGCTTCAATCCCACTTGGGCGGCCTGGACTGGCGGCATTCAACCGTGAACGCCAGAGCCTGGGGCCGCCGCCGCGCCGACACGACGCAAACCTGTCGCGCGAACCTCTACGGCGGGGAGGGTGGGGGGAGTGCGACCGCTGGGACCGCCGCCGTGTCGAGACGACGCGAACCCGATCGTGCAAACCTCCCGGGGGCAGAGGGAGCGGACGACCTTCACGAACGGGTCGTCGCTCACCCGCGCCGCGAGAACCGAGAGCATGCGGCTGTTCAGCCGCCCAGCGCGCTCCTGGAGGAACTTCGCGGCCCGCTGCTGCGCTGGGCTCCGCAGGTCCGAGCGCAGGGAGGCCAGCGACGTTGCCTGCTCGGCGGCGCCCACCAGCGGGTGGTGCGAGTGGGACGGCCTTCTGAGAAGGCAGGGGGCCAGAAGCCCCCGCCGCCTTCGCAGAAGCCCCGCCGCCTTCTTGGAAGCCCACCCCTCTCGCGCCACCCCCTTGCGGGCGCCGCCAACCTTGGCCGGCTTCGCCTTCGTGATGAGGGCGGCGCTGCTCCTGGACTCCAGGAGGCCGGCGTTCTCCTTGCACACCTCGATGGCCTTGCCGATGGCCACGATCTCCTCGGCGCGGAGCTGCTGCCGGATCTCGAAGTCGGACGACTTCTGCTCGCAGGTGGACGTGAGGTCCGCCAGGTAGTTCTCGTCGTCCGCCTTCGTGGTGGACGTGTCCTCGAGGTCTCCCTCCGCGCTCGCCTTCTCCTGGAGCTTCTTGGCCTTGAAGATGGACTTCTCCTGAACATCAGACTTAGCCTGGGTCACCTGCGCCTCCAGATCTTGCATGAGCATCTCGTAGGCGTGTTTGGAGTTCATCTCCTCCTTCTCGAGAGCAGTGCGCTCATCGATGAACTTGTCGAGGAGTTTCTCCAGCATCTCAATGACAGGGCCCAGGCGCGACTCGTACGCGTAGGCCTCGGGGGCGGTAACCTCGAGGGCTGCGTCGGGGTCCTGACTTGCCTGCAAGAATGCGTCGAGGGTCTTTCTGGCAGCGGCGGGGATCAAGGCCATGTCCTTGATCTCCTTCAGGATTTTGATTTGGGCGAAAGACGCCTGCGGTAGTGTCCGCGATTTGTCCTTGAGATACGCGACGGCCCGCTGCAGCGCGTCAACGGACTCGGAATAATCCTTATGCAGCTCCTGGTAGTCGGCATGCGAGAGGTCCCGCTCTTTTGTAGCCGCCTTCTCGTCGCCGGTCCAAGCGGCGATGTCGCCCTCGTGTTCCGTGATCTCCTTCGCAAGCTGCTCCGCGTCCTGGGTGCTCTTCTCGATGGTGGCCTTCAGCATGCCGATCCTTTCTGTGGCCACCTCGATCGCGCGCTTCTTGTCCACCGAAGTGTCGTCGCAGAACTGCTTGTACGCCGCGAACTGGACCTGCTCGGCGTGCTTCTCTTCCTTGCCCTTATTCAGCATGCCGTTCAGTAACTCGATGACCTTCACGATCGGCGTCACCTCCGACGCGGACGTGGCGCCGAAGGCCGCGAGCGCTGTGACCATTAGGATGGAGCGCCACATCGGCGCGCGGCCCCCTCTGGACGGCTGCCTTCGTTTGGGCGGTCTGAAATCCAGCGCCAACGGGGTGGGCGGCGGCTTGAGCCGGAACGGCGACAAAGTCGAAGGAAGGGGAGGAAGACGAGGAGTAGGAAGAAGATGCTCAACAGGATCTGGCCCTGAGGCGCATTATCCCGGGTGATGGGGTCAGAAGTCTCAAATACCAACATGGTGTTCCACGGCAGGGCAATATGGAGCAAAGTATGGCATTGCTGGAGGAGACCAGTATGGGAGTTCCCTGGACCCCCCCGGGAACATCCTGAAAAACCTCCGAGTTGGGTTTTTTCTATGGTTTTCCCCTCCGGATCCCAGGGGAGGGGGGGGAGGGAGTGAGCTTGAGATTTGTTTTAGAGGGATCCTGGGCCCGACACTCAAAAACAATACGATTTCGGGGAAACAAAAAAATATAGGGGGGTATGAGATTTTCGGGGGGGTCCCGGGAGCGATCGGGCAAAACCCTTCAACTCGTAAATCGGGCGACCCCCCCCCCAGGAACCCCTATCGGGTTTTTTTTTCTGTTGTTTCTCTGCGGTTTTCCAAAATTTATCGGAAGTTTTCTAAGGTTTTCTAAGGGGGGACCCCCCCAACAAAAAACCTAACTCAAGGTTTTCTTCAATGTTTTTCGGTCGTTCTGGGGCCCCACAATCAAAAACAAAACTGTCCGAAGCCCCCCCCTACGACCGACAAGGCTCACTTCCCAGCCACCCCCTCCCCCCACCGCAACAACCGCCCCGCCCTACCCACGCCCCAGCCCCAGTCGGACGTGTCGCCCAACGGCGAGTTCCCAGCTCGTGGCATTGATCATTGAGGCCATTGATCCTGGATTTTTAAGTCCTGGGGCCAAGAGGATCTCAGGATTCAGAGATCGGCCCCAAATAGCAATATCTTCTTTCTTTTTGAAATTATGCTATTGGGCAAATTTCTTTTACCAAAAGCATATAAAAGCCGTGGCTCAAGCAGCCGTGGCTCAAGCCGTCAAGCCGTCAATCCAGAGATTTCGAACCCGAACCATCCCTCGTCGTCCCCCCTTCGCCATGGACCTCTCCTCGCCTCCACGCTCCGGGGTCGGTGCAGGCAGCTCGCGGCAGGCGGGCACTCCAGTGGCGCACCTCTTCGACAGCCCGTGGGAGAAGATGAAGGAGGCGAAGAAGCCGCGGGGTGGCCGCGCACCTTCATCTCCATTCACCCCGCTCTTGGCCGATACCCGCGAGGACGGATACCAACGCATGGACGAGGGCGACGACGATGGGGAGACCAAAATCCGCCAGCCGGACTTCGGGGGCCAGGAGCCGGTCACCATGGCAGGCATTGCGGAGCTGCTCAAGAACCAGCTGGAGCCGATGGCAGCGGCGATGACAGAACTCAAGGACCTCAACTCGAAGCTGTCCGATCGCCTGGAGTCCTTGGAGATGCATTTGTGCATGACGGACGTGCGGGTGGAGAAGCTGGAGACTATCTGCGACGACTTGATGAAGAACGGCTCTTTCCCCGCCAACTTGGAGGAGAAGATCAGGGAGGGCATCGAGGCGTACATGAAGACCGAGGCGGGGCAGCAGTCAGGCGGGGCCTCTAAGGACACGTACCTCAGCAAGCGTGCAATCACTGCAATCGTCGGGAACTTGGATGGCCTCACGGACCTCGAGACCGCGACGGAGTGGCTTGAGGGAAAGCTCGCCTCGCTTTCCGCGCCGCTCCCCAGGAAGGGCTCCAGCAAGGGCCCGTTCAAAGGCCTCATCTTTGCAGAGTTTGGGAGCACGGCCGATCGTAACTTCGCGGTGGAGTCGCTCAGTGATGCAGGCTTGCAGCACGGGGCGAAACACGTATGGGCCAGTCAAGACCGCTCTCTCGCAGAACAGGCTGCTCGCAACTACTGCTTCGGCCTGAAGCGTGTGCTCCTGTCGGAGTGGCAGGTACCTTACGCCATCCAGATCTCCGAGGCGGCGCCGTACGTGGTGAAGGTCGGAGGGGAGCATGCCCTTACGGTCACGGTCTCTGGCGACGACGTCCAGCACGTGTGGCAGGGTGAACGGGCGACTTGGGAGGAGCTCCACAACCACCGCCTCATCAAAGAGCTCGGGTGCAAGTGCCAGGACTTGTTGAACAGGCCGTCATCCCGCATGAAGGGTACGACCAAAGGCGGCGCCAAGGGGCAGCCGGCTCAATAGGACGCACGGCACGTGAGCAATGTTTCACCCGTTTCACCCGCAGTCCCCGACATTGCCAATACCAATGCAAAAACTTCTAGAAATCATCATAATACAACTTGTGGTGTTCCCCCTGCAGCCGGTTCTGCTGCAGAGACTCTTCTGTTCCGTGGTGGGCGTCTTCTTCCCTGCGAGCGTCGCTTGCGCGCTGCTTCGTGGAACGTTGAGGGCCGGACGGCGGCAAAGCGGATAGAGCTGGAGTGGCACATGAACAGTTTTCACATAGACATCCTCTGTACACAAGAAACGCATACGATTGGATCCACATACCATATCACAGAGGCTGGATACTTTCTTGTTCTCTCTGGCACCCTTGGGGACGCCGCAAGCGAGACATCGGGAATGGGCTTCATGATATCACCGCGTGCCCGGAGGAGTGTGGTGGGATTCCGGCAAGAGTCGTCGCGAATGGCTTCCATCAAGATGAGGGTGTCTGGTGGGAAGACTGTTTTCTGCAGCACCTACGCCCCTCACAATGGGAAGCCTCTGGATGAACGCCGTCGCTTTTATGATGAGCTTGGTGCCTTCGCTGGGCGGACATCTCGCCACGGACCTCTGTTTGTATGAGGCGATTTCAATGCTCGCCTGCCCCGGCGTCATCCCGCTGAACAGTCTATCATGGGACCTTTCGTTTTCGGCAGCCCGCACGCTCAATACAACCCCGCTTCCAACAGAAACCTATTGGCCGAACTCTGCACTAAGCTACACCTTACGATCGGGAATACCTTATTCGACGAACCACCCGAGCGGCAGATCACGTGCTACAATGTCGGGAAGTGCCCCAACGACGAGGTCACCCCCGGCAGTCTCGGACAGATCGATTTTGCATTGGTGTCGTCAAATTGGGCGTGTCTTCTCCACAGGGTCTGGAGCGATAGGAGCAGAGCGTTGGCCTCGCATCATTCTCTTCTCCTGGCAGACATCGAGATCGCACTGCCGAAGCCCGAGGCCACCGCCAAGACTCCGCCACTTGACGTCCGCCAGCTCCGCTCGCCTCCAGTCGTAGCCAGCTTCGCTAGAGTATGCACCGACGAGATGGCCGAGTTCAACAATGACCCGAACGCTTCGGTGAACGACCTCGAAGCAGCCATGGGGGCAGCCTTCCACAGAGCGGCGCAACAAGCTCTGCCATCTGTGCCGCAGCAGCCAAACCGGCCATGGATCACAGCCCAAACGCTCGAGCTCATCCAACAGCGCACCAGCGCGCGCAAGGCGGGAGACTACGACGAAGAGAAGCGCCTCAACGTGACTGTGAAGAAGTCTGTCAAGAATGACAGATCGGCGTGGCTGGAGGGCCTCCTGGCGACGGGCGATTGGGAGCAGGTGCGACGGCTACGGAAAGGATTCTGCCCCTCACAAGGCAGGCTTCGGAACCAGCAGGGCCGCATCGTGGACTCGGAGTCGCGTGCCGCAGCCATGGCGGAGTACTTCTGCGAAGTGCAGTGGGCTGCTCGCGAGACCACGGCCATGCGAGGCGAGCCCCTGGGGCCAATTCTGCCTGTCCACCTTGGGCCCATCACTGAAGCCGAGATTGCGTCAGCAGCTACACAGATGAAGTGGGGCAAAGCTTGTGGATCTGATTCAGTGCCGGGCGATTTCTGGAAGGCCATGGCGTCGCCCAGGTCTCCCGCAGCCCAGTGGGCCGCCGCCTTGTGCCAAAAATGTTGGGAATTGTTGGGATGAGGGGGTTGTGCCCGAATCGTGGCACGAGTCCCTAGTGGCGGCAATTTTCAAGAAGGGCGACGAGTCGCTATGTGAAAACTACAGGCCGATTTGCCTCTCACAGTCCGGGTACAAGCTATACGCCTCCATACTCCTCCAGCGCTTGAAAGACGCAGGCGCCGAGGAGCGCGTCTGGCCCGCACAATTCGGATTCAAGTCCAAGTGCGGCACCACTGATGCCATATTCATGGCCCGGCGGCTTCTGGACGGGGCCTGGGAGTCAAAGGGCGCACACCTGATCTTCCTTGCCCTGGATTGGGCGAAGGCGTTTGATAGCGTGGACCCAGCGGCACTCCTACGTGCGTTGCGACGTTTTGGTCTGCCAGAAAAGATGCTCGACGCGGTGGGCGCGATCTACACCGATCGCCGTTTCGCGGTTCGCGACGCTGGGCAGACATCAGCCATGCGGGGCCAAAACGCAGGCATTGGCCAAGGCTGCCCTTTGTCACCTCTCCTGTTTGCCATGCTGATGACCGTGCTAATGACAGACGCTGGGCGCACGATGGGGCAGGATGGATCGAATGTCAGAAACCTCGTCTACGCGGACGACACATTAATTGTGACCGCAGACCAGGGCCGGGCCTCCGAGCACATGCGGGCCATCGCAGATGCCGGTGCCAATGACGGGCTGAAGTATAATTGGCGCAAGCTCGAGCTGCTGTCCGTTGGCGGAGATACAAACATCGAGAAGCCAGACGGGAGCATGGTTACCCAAAGGGACAGCCTTGTCTATCTCGGCAGCGTGCTGTCTTCCTCCGGAGCCTCCGACGCAAAGCTCGCGAGGAGGTTGGGGGCTGCAAGGGCCGAGTTTCACAAGCTGGACAAGGTGAAGTCTCATTCCAGCCTCCCTCCAGCGAAAAAGATCAAGATCTTCAGTGCGTGCGTGGTGTCGAAGCTGTTGTACACCGTCCACACCATTTGGCTGAAAGCGGCAGAGCTGTCTAAAATAGATGCGTTCCAAGCACGTTGTCTGAGGAAGATGTTACACATCCCGCATTCGTGAATAAGCCAGGTTGCCAACCATACTGTTCTCAGCAGAGCGAGGCAGAGCAAGCTGAGCAGTGTGTTATTAGAGCGCCAGTTAGTTCTGTTCGGGAGCATCGCGCAGATGAGCGACGGCC